ACCCCGAGCTGCTGGAGGCCGCAGGTCTGAGAGGGAAGTGTGGGTAGGACCCGCTCGCTCCTCCTGAGGCTGGGTGGGAGGATCTGTCCGTGCCGCCCCACCCCAGCTTCTGGGGGCCTGCGGGCAGTGCTGGCACTCACATCGTCTTCCCTCTGTATGCCCATCTCCTTGGCAAAATGGCACATTTCATAAGGACACACACTAGTCATGACGGATTAGGGCTCACCCCAATGATTCTCCATGCAAAGACCCTAGTTCCAAACAAGGTCATATTCACAGGTCCAGGAGGTTAGGACTTAAAACATTTTTTTTTTTTTGGCAGGAGGAGGGGACAAAATTCAAGCCAAAACAGGACGTGTGACAGAATACAGTCTAACTGTCAGTTTTTATGATAACCAGGAAGCATTTTCCACACCTCTCTCTTCCCACCCAGTGCATTAACATATATGCATAGTGAAGAAAGAACTGTTCCCTCCATCTCAGGAGGTGCCCCGAAGGTAGGGTTTTAGGAACTTTAGGACAGCCTACCCCAGGAGCATCTAAATGCTTGTTTATCAACTGCCGGCTCTCATTACATCAAAGCGTGAGTTTGCTTGTCTCTCTGGGTTGTGTGTGCAGGGCATTCCAGTATCACTTTTATCACTAAGAAAACCCCTTCCTCTCTAGTGCATTTAAGTGTTTGCCTCTCAAATATTAGATTTTATTCTGTATCAGTCAGGGTACTGCAGAGAAACAGAACCAGTGTGTGTGTGTGTGTGTGTGTGTGTGCGCGCGCGCGCTTCTGTTAAGGAACTGGCCTGTGTGACTATGCGTGCTCAGTCGCTTTAGCTGTGTCTGACTCTTTACGACCCCAAGGACTATAGCCCATCAGGCTCCTCTGTCCATGGGATTCTCCAGGCAAGAATACTGGAGTGAGTTGCCATGCCCTCTTCCAGGGGATCTTCCCTGACCCGGGGATCAAAACTGTTTCTCCTGCATTTCCTGTGGGGGCTGGCAAATTCAGTCTGTAAGGTACTTCAGAAACTCAGGCAGGCTTTCTAGGGTGCAGTCTTGAGGCAGGATTCATTCTTTTCCAGGAAACCTCAGTTTTTTGTTCTAAGGCCTTTGACTGATTGGATGTGGCCCACCATATGATCTAGGATAACCTCCTTTACTCAAAGTCAGCTGATTGTAGGTGTCCACAGAATACCTTCACAGCAGTACCAGGGCTGTGTTTGCACCAACAACCAGGCCCTGTCACCTAGCCAAGTTGACAGATGAAACCTTACCATCCTTGCAGGGAAGGGCTAGCTGGGAGACGGAGTGTGACCTGCAGTTGAGAAAGACTCCTCCCCTTCCGTGACATGTTCACCACTGGCTAGATTTCACCTGCTTGGGTCCATTTGTTTGACTCTAGATTAATGGGAGGGGAAGGGGGTAATGCCTTCAAATACTGGTGTTGGCTCACTGGTAAAATGCCCCCATCTGGTGCATGTCAGGGTTGTGCGTCCATCTGTTCTTTGTGTTGGAGGCTTTGTCTACAGGTAATTGGAGGGTGGGGTGAGAGGAGAGGGAGGGTGGTGATACACTGCATCTAAGTATGGGATCAGTGAGCACTCGGAGGGTCTCCTCCTGGGCACAGACTTGGACAGTACTTACCTGCCTCCCAGACGTTATTATACATGCCAGATATAAACAAACCATGTTGCTTTAGCACCTGGGGCTCTGGGGCTGCTAACTGTTACTGTGGGACACTGCAGCCTATTCTGGCTGATGCACCTTGCCCGTGGAGAAGGGAACTGGATGGCTGGGGGCCATTTGCTGAACTCTCTTGCACTTGTATCTTACCTGCCTCCTGAGAAACCTGTATGCAGGTCAAGAAGCAACAGTTAGAACTCGACATGGAACAACTGACTGGTTTCAAATTGGGAAAGGAGTATGTCAAGGCTGTATAATGTCACCCTGCTTATTTAACTTATATGCAGAGCACATCATGCAAAATGCCAGGCTGGATGAAGCACAAGCCAGAATCAAGGTTGTCAGGAGAAACATCAATATCCTCAGATATGCAGATGACACCACCGTTATGGCTGAAAGTGAAGAGGAACTGAAGAGCCTCTTGATGCAAGGTAANTTGAAGGCGGGATGAGAAGAGGATGACAGAGGATGAGATGGCTGGATGGCATCACCGACTCAATGGACATGAGTTTGAGCAAGCTCCGAGAGTTGGCGATGGACAGGCAGGCCTGGCGTGCTGCGGTCCATGGGGTCGCAGAGAGTCAGACATGCCCGAGCAGCTGGACTGACTGGCTGACTTGCACCTGTGACTTTTCTGTAGTTGTGTAACCTAACTTTGGGCTTCCCAGGTGGCTCAGATGGTAAAGAACCACCTGCAGTGCAGTAGACCAGGGTTCAGTCCTTGGGTTGGGAAGATCCCCTGGAGAAGGAAGGGAATGGCTACCCATTCCAGGATTCTTGCCTGGAGAATATCATAGACAGAGGAACCTGGCAGGCTACAGTCCATGGGGTCACAAAGAGTTGCTCACAACTGAGCAACTAACACTTTCATTTTTACTTTTTTCAACCTAGTTTTTAAAAATAAAGTTTAAATTTATTTTTTAAATTATTTACTTAAATTTTTTTTTTATATTTTCAAATTTAGAAAAAGTTTAAATCTGAATGTCAACAGTGCCAACTTTGGCTGCCATTGCCCTAAGTAGATAGATGCCCAGGAGTGAGCGTGATATGGGAAATAGGAGTCTCATTCCCTTCCCATGCAGTTGTAATGCCAGGGCTTAAATGTTACCTATTTTTCATTCAACATGACCTCTATGTGCCTGTCAACTACTTCATTTCTGTTCAACCAAGAAAGTAATCTGATCCACATGTCCCGTGCTTTGGTTAGGCAAGTCAAGGACAAGATCTGGCACAAGAGTTTTGTCTTTGTAACCTAACACTTGCTCAATTTGCAACTTCACTGTGTTGATTTAAAAAAGTTCATCCTCTGAGCAGGTATTCTTAACCTGTGTTTGACGGGGTAGGCTTGTGAACTTCTGATATCTATACTAGATGCTGTGTGCACGTGTCTCTTTTTATTTTTGTGTCTTTTTAACTGTATATTTTCAAAGTTTCATGCATGAATTACAAGAATAAGCCCAAGAACTCCTGCACAGCTTTTGTCAATTCACCAATCATTAGCATTTCATTACATTGCTTTCCAGTTTTCTTCCCATATATTTTTTTAAGACAGTTGAGAGTCAGCAGCCCCTGAGAAACGTTTCTGAAAAACACAGACATTCTCTTACAGAGTCACAGTATAGTTATCAACAATCAAGGACTTAACATTGATGAAGTCCATGTTCAAGTTTCACCAACTGTCCTAATACTGTCCTTTGGAGCAATTCTCTTTTCAGCCCCTGGTACTCTGGGATTAGATGTTGTATGTAGTTATTGTGTCTCTCGAGACTTGAACAGCTTCTGAGTATCTTTCATGAGTTTTCGAGTCCAAGGAGCAGCATGATTTTTATTTCAGTCCCTACCAGTAGACATCTGGGGTTTTCCCATTTTCCACTATGAAAAACAATACTTTGAGGAATATGCTTTTGCACACCACATGGAGCATTTACTTAGTTTTCCCTGGGATGAGCTCCTAGGAGGGTGAACTTCTACTTTGGAGGGAGGTGTGTTTTTAAGACTTTTGCTACGTGATGCCAAGATGCAGTTTCAAGAGCCTTGCCAAGTCCATGTATGTGAGAATGTTCATTTGCTCCCACAGTCACCAGCATCAGGCATTGTTCTATTTAATCTTGCAGTGCATCAGAGAAGTCAGTTTTACAGCCATTTAAGGAAGCCTCTGGCAGCTAAACTACGTTTTAATCCAAGGCGAAGTCAGCCCTGCAGTCGGGTTTTGGAACAAAATGAGAGGCGATGCGGTTCACTGCCGCTGTCACTAGAGGGAGCACATGATCCACTGCAGGCAGTGTTGTCCAGTCACTAAGTAGGGTCTGACTCCATGGGGCTCCATGGTCTGCAGCACTCCAGGCTTCCCTGTCCTTCACTATCTCCCCGGGTTTGCTCAGGCTCATGTCCACTCTGTCGGTGATGCCATCCAACCATCTCACCCTCTGTTGTCACCCCCTTCTCCTTCTGCCCAGCATCAGGGTCTTCTCCAATGGTCAGCTCTTCACATCCGGTGGCCAAAGGAATCATAGCTTCAGCTTCAGCATCAGTCTTTACAATGAATATTCAGGGTTGATTTCCTTTAGGATGGACTGGTTTAATCTCTTTGCTGTCCAAAAGACTTTCAAGAGTCTTCTCCAGCACCACAATTCCAAAGCAGCAATTAATGACAATATACAGTCTTGATGTAGATCTTTTCCCAATGTTTTCCCAATTTTGAACCAGTCCATTGTTCTGTGTTCAGTTCAAATTGTTGCTTCTTGACCTGCATACAGGTTTCTCAGGAGACAGGTAAGGTGGTCTGGTGTTCCCATCTCTTTAAGAATTTACCAATGTGGTAAATCGGTAAATACGGTAAACATGACTGCAGTCACATTTACCAGTTAAGTACCTCTGACCACCGAAGAGAGTTCTACGTTCTGCTCGGGGACACAGGAGAAGGTGGTTCTTGCTAATCACCTACCACA